ACTCCATGATATGTTCTCTTTCAGTTTCTTCCTCCTGAAATTAGCAACCATAGCTTTTTGGACCTTCCTACCAGCAACCGAAATCTTAGAGCACTTCACGCAATTGTTTCCTTTGCCGGCAAGATGTTGCTTCAATCTAAAGACCCCATCTTTCATCTTGTGCAAGCACAATTTGCATTGCACTAAGCACAAATCATTTAGATCTGGAAGAAACCCAAACTCCTAACCAATATCTCTCGAGTTTATTTTATCTTTCATAGGGGCTTTTTCGGGAATAGAGGTGGAACCCGCAGACTCTTTAGGATGAATATCCAACATTCTAAATCACAACAATTTAACAAACAAACCATTCATAGATCAAATCATCAAATCATGACAAATAAAAAATCAAATAAATAACATAACTTGATCTGTTAAGTATTAACATCTATTCAGTCTTCTCTTCTATAAGACTAAATGTAAAATTGAACAAGATTTTAATCTCAATTACTAATTAAATAGATTAACTAAAATTAACTAAATTGAACAATACATAAATTTGAACTAAAATTGAACAAGATTAAACTAAAATTAACTAAAATTGAACAAGTTGAACTAAAAATAACTAAGATTAAACTAGAATTAACTACAATTAATTAAAATTAACTAAAGTTTAACAAGATTAAACTGATATTAACTAAAATTGAACAAGTTTAAACTAAAATTAACTAAAATTATCTAAAAATTGAACAAGATTAAACTAAATTTAACTTAATTAAACTAATTAATTAAACAAAATTGGAAAAAATAACTATTTAAATTAAAAAAACAGTTTATAAGTGAATTTTTTACCTAAAATAGTGAATAAGTTAAAAAATCAGTTTACAAATTAAAAAAATTGAAGAATAAATGTTTATCTGAGGGCTGACGGGTGAAGGACCGGCGGCGGCTGGAGAGGGGACTACGATTAGCGGGAGAGGGTCCAGCAGCGGTGGGAGAGGGTCTGGCGACGGTGGGTAATGACCAATGTATTAAATATTAAAAATATCAGAAATATCAGATGACCAAAATCTATGTCGGATTGCGAAAATCGGGGATATGTAAAAAATAGCGGGATGTTATATAAAGGAGGATGTTCATATTAACATAACACTATAATATGTAATACAAACATATTTAATGTTTTCTAAATATAAGAAATTGCATCACAACTAATGATATGCGATGTTTAGAGACATTAGATACATGTAGAGGTTAGAGAGAGAGAGTAAAGACATGAACAAAGGAGAGAGAAAGGAAGACAGAGAGAAGGGAGAGAAGTTAAGAGAGAGGATAGAGGAAGAGAGACATAGGGGTCTAAGGAGGAGCCGAGAGAGAGCTAAGATAGAGGAGAACTGGAGAAGAAAGGGAGAGTGGAGAGAGGGGAGAGATTCCTACATGAGGTCGCCTAACGTTTTTGAATTGGAGTGCTGAACAAAGATGGAGGAGAAATATGAGATTGACTAGGGATTTAGGGTATTTGAGTTTTGAAATTTATTAAGTATTCGGGTCTAGTAGGAACCAAAACCAAACACAAACCCAATAACCATTTTTATTTGGATATTAGCCAATATTAGTCGACATTTCCTCAATGAAATATCGGCTGATATTTCTCGATATATCGAAAAAAGTGGTAAAATTGAAAAATGATAATTTTCCATAAATATCGTATCGGAAGGTCATCAAAACCATTATATCAGCCGATATAGCGATATATCGGCCTATATTTAATACATTGGTGAGAACCGAAGTGAGAGGGACAGCGGGGAGCAAGTATAGGATTAGAGAGAGCCGGCGTACAGAATAGAGATTAGAAAAGGGAGGTGGGGGGGGTCTACTGCAGTTACTGAGAGTAGGGTTTATCTTTCAGGGTTCGGGTATTCCGGTTCGGTGACTCCGGCTTGGGTTTGTTTTTTTTCAAAAGCTAGGGCGGCGTGTAAGCGCGTCATCTTAGCGCGGATGACTCCGTAGACTGGCCGCCCGGCCAAAAAATAGGCCGCGCGTTTAGCTCCGCCTACGCCTAGGCGAACTCCTAGGTGTCAGCCTAGGACGCTTTTTAGAACACTGCTGGTAACAAGCATCACCGAGGTTACTCTGTTAAGATCTTTCATTATTTGGTGAGGCCAAGTTTTAATTGCTGTCTATAACACACTTAATTGACCGCATCAACATGGAAGATGCAATAGCATGAAGAGATACTTTGTCTTTCTTGATGTACCCTAAGGATGGATAAGGATTCTGCAGGGAATTCTTTTTTCCTTCTTAATTATTGGGATACTTTGGGTAGACATGGTCCTATGCTCTTAGACTTCATGTTTATCTGCAGATGCACTTCAAACACAACACTACATTTATGTACTGAAACTGCAATTTAACAATAATTGATATTATTGTGAATAAGATGTTTGAAGATGTGGTACAAGTTAAAATGATTTAAACATGGATAAAATAAACTGTGGATGCACCATTGGATATCATAGAACTTTTTAAATAGAACTGGGATAATTGGTAAAGTGGGATAATATTTTGACACTGGGATAATTTAGTGGAACAATGATGGGTAATTCTTAAAGTGGGATAATTTGGTAGGATAATTTGGTGGGATAATGATGGATAATATTATGAAGTTGCATAATTTGGTAGGATAATTTGGTGGGGGTAATGGTGGGTATAAATTACTATTGTTAATAATTGTATATTAAAAATAATATAATATTGATAAGCAAATTCTAGTAATAACTATAAAATATAATGTAATAAAGCATCACTATTCATTTCAAATAATAAAATAATTTACAAATAAATAAAAATCTAAATCTCTAGAGTGACTCGACTTCTATCATCCCACATGACTTCTATTATCCCACATGACATCTGCCATAGAATTTCTCCAAGCTCCTACAGCTGCTCGTTGAGTCTGTATCTCGTCTTCTTTATCGGAGTCATCGTTTGCATCAACAACATTTCGTGGAGCTTCTAGTGGAGGATCATAAATGTCGAAGTTCAAATCTCATAACATCATAAAGAAAAAAAAGCATTTTTCAGCCATTAATCCTTTGGACCAATCTCATCATGATCGCTAAAACCAAATCAGCAAATAAATGAAATGTACACAGGAATCATCCATGGCCGCTAAACAGATGATCGACAGATGAACTATAAATATCCCAATCAATTTACTGAGCCGATTTAATAATAATAGATATCACCATTAACCATTCAACATCTAATCATCAATGTGATCGCAAAATTGCTTTCTAACTTATAAAAAAACATAAATAGCCTGCATATCTTTAGCACTAACCCACCAACACTATTTTCTTAACCTAAACCACTGTTGTGGAGAGAAAACTTAGATCAAATAAATAATGATAAAGTAATTTAACGTTAAAAAACTATCAATAAAGTAATACATTTTGAATATAATAATAAAAGATCTAATCATCACAAAAACAAAGTAAAGACAGAAAAATGAACGGATGATTGACTTCATGGTAGAGAAATTTTCTAGGCAGAGAAACTAACCAAGAGGGAGGGAGGTGGGGTTTTACTTTTTTTTTCCAATTGTATTCTTTCCAATGTGTGGGATAATTTGAGAGAGGAGAACTTATGGTTATATATATAGGTGGTATAATTTGTGGGATAATTATGACCAATTATCCCAATTCTAATTCTAGTAAAATTCTACTTGACTAACGCACCAAAAAAATAATACAGTTCTAGTTCTACAAAAGTTCTACTTGACTAATACTATAAAAAAATATCCCATTTCCTAGTTCTATGTGACTAACACCTTAAAATTTTATCCCACAAATTATCCCAGTTCCAGTTTTAAGTTCTAGATGACTAACCCCCCCTAAGGATGGATAAGGATTCTGCAGGGAATTCTTTTTTCCTTCTTAATTATTGGGATACTTTGGGTAGACATGGTCCTATGCTCTTAGACTTCATGTTTATCTGCAGATGCACTTCAAACACAACACTACATTTATGTACTGAAACTGCAATTTAACAATAATTGATATTATTGTGAATAAGATGTTTGAAGATGTGGTACAAGTTAAAATGATTTAAACATGGATAAAATAAACTGTGGATGCACCATTGGATATCATAGACCTGAGCAATGATATATAGATAAAGCACATGGTAATTGCCACTGCCAATTACAGTTACTGTTAAAGATAAGAGAAAGGGTATTCTGGAACAGACATTAAAATATGTTTTCTGACAGGGAATGATGACTTCGTAATATACGCCTGTAGAAACATATTTAAGAAACTTGGAAGAATATATGGGATATTCTCAGATATTTCATGTAGTTACTTCGAATGAGAGAGGGGTTACCCTCTTTGTTTGGTTAGTTGCACATTCTGATCCTACCCGGACTACACATTGACGAGAATCTGCTTTAGTGAGCTGCCCTTTTGTAAGCAAATCGATCAGTTAATCCAAGACAATTTAGTTGTCTAAATGGGTTAGCTCGAATAGATACACCATTGTTTAGGACCTTTATATCCACTTATGTAGCAGTAATAAGGGAATCATGATTGCATTTCCTTATTAACAGTTCAAAATTACAAGGGAATTTTGAGATTATATCTTTTTTCGTGGCAAGAACTTCAAATAAGTGAGCCCTTCAAGAACATTTGAGTCCCAAATTATCAACTAACAGTTCCATTACTATTACCTGTGTTTGTTTGAGGTTTAGCCAGTTTAAATTACGGTAAGTCTTCATAGACTTTCTATACTTCACTCTTCGGTGAATTTTCCCCAAGTTGACTGGAAGTACGATCTACTTGTACTAATTAAGCTGTTATTACTAATTTTAGTCATTTTCTGCGGTCCCCATAATTCCTGAATAAAAGGGCTAGTTGTTGGCTTGTTGCTTATATCAAATTGCCTTGTTTATATATCTGTCTGTTTGAGTTAGTTCTGTGCTGCCTGCTATTGCATAGTTTAATATTTGCTTACCTACTTAGGGAATGATATTCACAAGGATGAGGATCTGTCTCGGGACTTCGGAGAGGCTGATGAGGAGTGGCTAAGTATACATAAAATGCATTGTAGGTATGTGATTAGATTGTCACATTTCCATAACTTTGAGCATGTTTTATAGGATAAAATATGTTTATGAGTATACAAGTGTACACAGAACGCATTGCGGGTATCTTTTTAGATAATCACATAACTGACATCTATGTATATGTTGCGTGCTCTTTTATTGAATTACACAGTCTGAAATTATATCTCTTGAGGGTTCTTGATGTAGTTCTAGAGTAGGTATATGAAGCAGGTGCTAGGTGCTAAGCAGAGACAACGGTCTTATGAGCCGAAGTGCAGGGGTACGAAGTACTAGCCTTATTATTTTGGACTATTAATTTATAAAGTGAATTTGATAGTTGGTTTAAGAAATATTGAATTGTTGAAAACATGGATTGTACAATATCAGGATTAACCTTTATGTTGTGTGCTCCCTCTGCTTGTCTCAACGTGAATGTTGGAGCTTTTTGGTAAAATAAATTGAGACTGCTTTTCACATCACTTAAGTAGTTCTTTAATATTAAGAATAATTGTTATTAGTCAGTAGACTTCTTGTTAACTCACAACAGCTTGTAGAGTTAATATGTGAAATTTTGCACCTGATCTGTGGAGTGATATGCCTTTGTCTCTGTAGCAGAGTAATGCATGACCTAGTTTTTTCTGTATTGCATCTATGACCAATGACATTATCTTTCTACCTTCCTAAGGGTTTGTTTGGCAATTCATCCACCAACTTGGATAAGCACACTAACTTGGATAATGGCTTAAATGTGTTTTGACAAAAACTTGTACAAGATTGAACTAATTTTTCTTTTTTCTTTTTTTTTCCTTTTGTTTTAAAGTTCAAAATATAGGCCCTTACCTAGGTTATCTTTGGACCACTCTCATCTTGGTTCAATCCAAACCCAGCTTAAGGCCTTAAGCGGATTAGTGTGAAGTTGTCAAACACACTTAGGTCTTTGTGTGCAAAAATGTGGACAGAGATCGAACGTATCACAGATTCTTCCAGGACTTGTATTAGGATTTGTTCAAAGTAGCTAATACTTGATTCATAATAATTGACATTTTTTGTTTACTGATCTGTTTCTCTTGAGGGCTTGTGGGCACTGGGCTGGCGTCGGGGAATGCCCTTAATTGTTTTATCTATTTCTTTATTATTTTCATGTAGACGGACCAATTTATCAATTAAAGGATAATCTTCTATTTTGGCCCATCCAAATTCGGATGAGTTCCCAAAAATTACCTCATAATTTTTATATCTTTGACTTTCTTTTCAATCTAACCATTACAATATTCAGATTTTGTTAATATTTTACAACACTTCATTGTTGTTTCCTATTCATTATCATCGATTTATTATATTGATATCATGCTTCCATGAATGA